TACGGCACACACATATTTGTGTCAGTGCACGTCTTTTGAGTGTGATTGGTCCTTGGACGGTGTGGCACACTAGTGTGTTCCTGTGTGCACTGTCTTGATCAAATTGGTTGTTTATCCATGTCGTTTAATTTATCTTATTTTGTTGTTATCTTTGTGTGTTTACAGAAAGATTTTTTGTCTGTGTTCCTTGATGATGAGGTTGATTTGCGTTATGGGGCCGTTGTACGAAGGATTATTCCAAGAAGGATGCAGATGCGCTGGCGGGATGCACGTAACAAAGTGGATTGTGGGGTCTTTGCAATGCGGCATATGGAGTCGTTTTTGGGTGAATCAGTGACTGCATGGGATTGCGGTTTACAGAAGGGTGATACTGGTGGTCTTGATTTGTTGAGGAGGTCTTATATGCGGCAGATTTTGACGAATGAGATTAATGCTCACCATCACAAGAACATTTGTAGTGTAGTTGGATACCGTGATGACATTGAACAAAGATAGTTTTAGGGTTATGTTTCGTTGTTTGTTGATTAGTATGTTTTGGTTGTTTCGGTTTGTTTGGTGAATATGTTTTGTGTTACCGGTTGTTGTTTTTTTAATACTGGATTTTTGGGTCTGTTTTTTCCTTTACGAGTTGTGGTTCATTTTGTTGTTCCATATTGGTGTTGTCAAAACTGAATGGCACATACAGTCCGTCGGGCGGGCACATTAGGGCATTAGTTACAACTTTACAACCCGTAAGGCACTTATTTTCGTCTTCCAGAGCATACCGGCTAGTACGTAATAAATGTTAGTGTGTCTGGCACATGCAGGTTACCTAGTGTGCACAATGGTCGTAGTGTGTTTTTAGAATCAATAAAGAGCACAGATGGTGTGTCAAATGTGCATGTGTAGTGTTGCGTAGTCCGTTTCGTGTAGTTACAACTTCACAGTCCGTAATGGCACTTAATTTCGTCTTCCAGAGTGTATCGGCTAGTACATATCATTCACGTTAGTTGTGGTTGGCACATGCAGATTAACTTGTGTGCACATTGCCCGTAGTTTCTTTGTAGAACCAATACAGGGCACGGTTGTTGACTCAAATGTGCACACCAAATTCGGTGTGTCCGTTACTATCGGTGTGGGACATTTCCCCATGATGGCACATACGGTTCAGTGGGTGGGCACAGCAGGGCATTAGCTCCAACTCCACAGCCCGTAATGGGTTTTCATTTCGTCTTCCAGAGCATACCGGCTAGTACATGGCATTCATGGTAGTTGTGTGTGGCACATGCAGATTAACTAGGGTGCACATTGGCCGTAGATTCTTCTTATAACCAATAAAGGGCACAGATGTTTTCTCTAATGTGCATGCCCAGGGTTTCATAGGCCGTTTCGGGTAGTCATATTTCCAAACTGCGTAATGGCATTTTTTTTTTGTCTTCCAGCCCATACTGGCCAGTACGAAGCATTCATGTTAGTTGCGTATGGCACATGCATATTAACTAGTGTGCACAATGGATCAACATCGCTCTCACGGACACTCGGTGGATCAACTTGGGCAACATCAACAACCCTGGAAACATCATCATACTGGCGCCCCACATCCACAACCTCATCCCACCGCTGCGAAGGCCAATCCTGAGTCAACCCGAGGCTAAAAGACGGAATGTCATGCATCGCATTCCGCTCCTGAATGGCACACTCAATCTCTCCAAGTGCACTCACATTCTCCGGGTTAGCCCAAAAAGCATCCTGAGACGGCGTGAACAACGACTGTGTAGCGCCCTGAGAATCCACACCTTGACCAGCCTTCTGTACGCCCCTCCCTAGCATCAAATGCGAAGCGCCCAACACCTGGGTGAGGCTATCCGAATGTGCACTAGACTCAGCCCCACCAGCCTCATGAATCACCTCAATCAACTCCAAAACAGAGCGCGCCACAGCCCGGGCCTTCTCAACAACCCGATCAATCAAACACTGCCACACATAGGACACTAACATATGCGGCCCAGTCTCTCGTTTCTCCCACTCTTAGGTAGTTGATTTTGTTGTTGTTTTTAAATTCATCTTGTGGTGCCGTTTAAATTTAGGCATGAGGAACTATTCAACTTCAATGGGTGGGCTGCGACCCGTGAGGATGTGTTGTCCCTGGCAGTTGGGTCTCAGTTGCGGGTCGCTGTAATTGATGTGTGGTCCTGCATTCTGAACGTTAGAGAGATTTATAGGCCTGAGGGCTCTCCTCGGCGGTTTTTTTCGGGGATTCAGACCACAGTATCTTTCCTTTGTCCCTTTTGCGTTTTTGTGTTACATAAAAGGTGTGGTGCTGGGTGTGTTGGTATTTAAATGTGTTCTGTATATGTGTCCAGCTCAATACAGTGGTGTCACAAACTCAGTCGCGTGCATGCCGGTTAGATTGGTTCTCTGAGAGGATGGATGCGGGGATGAAGTTGTCTCCTCATGATTCGTGGCGGAGTGTTGACATGGTATTGTGCAGAGTGGGCACTACTATGTTATCAGTGTGGACATGGTGCGGAAACGAATTGACATAATTGACAATTCCTCGGTCGTTATGACTAACGAGGACAAGTATGGGGCGACTCCTGAGGTGTTGGTATGTGTTTTGTTATCCCATTTTTCCCGACAACGCATTGTGTGTTTATTATTGCGGGGCTCTATCCCTCTCTTTTGTCAATTGGGTTTACTATGAGTTTTGTAATCATTTGTTACATACGGCACACACATATTTGTGTCAGTGCACGTCTTTTGGGTGTGATTGGTCCTTGGACGGTGTGGCACACTAGTGTGTTCCTGTGTGCACTGTCTTGATCAAATTGGTTGTTTATCCATGTCGTTTAATTTATCTTATTTTGTTGTTATCTTTGTGTGTTTACAGAAAGATTTTTTGTCTGTGTTCCTTGATGATGAGGTTGATTTGCGTTATGGGGCCGTTGTACGAAGGATTATTCCAAGAAGGATGCAGATGCGCTGGCGGGATGCACGTAACAAAGTGGATTGTGGGGTCTTTGCAATGCGGCATATGGAGTCGTTTTTGGGTGAATCAGTGACTGCATGGGATTGCGGTTTACAGAAGGGTGATACTGGTGGTCTTGATTTGTTGAGGAGGTCTTATATGCGGCAGATTTTGACGAATGAGATTAATGCTCACCATCACAAGAACATTTGTAGTGTAGTTGGATACCGTGATGACATTGAACAAAGATAGTTTTAGGGTTATGTTTCGTTGTTTGTTGATTAGTATGTTTTGGTTGTTTCGGTTTGTTTGGTGAATATGTTTTGTGTTACCGGTTGTTGTTTTTTTAATACTGGATTTTTGGGTCTGTTTTTTCCTTTACGAGTTGTGGTTCATTTTGTTGTTCCATATTGGTGTTGTCAAAACTGAATGGCACATACAGTCCGTCGGGCGGGCACATTAGGGCATTAGTTACAACTTTACAACCCGTAAGGCACTTATTTTCGTCTTCCAGAGCATACCGGCTAGTACGTAATAAATGTTAGTGTGTCTGGCACATGCAGGTTACCTAGTGTGCACAATGGTCGTAGTGTGTTTTTAGAATCAATAAAGAGCACAGATGGTGTGTCAAATGTGCATGTGTAGTGTTGCGTAGTCCGTTTCGTGTAGTTACAACTTCACAGTCCGTAATGGCACTTAATTTCGTCTTCCAGAGTGTATCGGCTAGTACATATCATTCACGTTAGTTGTGGTTGGCACATGCAGATTAACTTGTGTGCACATTGCCCGTAGTTTCTTTGTAGAACCAATACAGGGCACGGTTGTTGACTCAAATGTGCACACCAAATTCGGTGTGTCCGTTACTATCGGTGTGGGACATTTCCCCATGATGGCACATACGGTTCAGTGGGTGGGCACAGCAGGGCATTAGCTCCAACTCCACAGCCCGTAATGGGTTTTCATTTCGTCTTCCAGAGCATACCGGCTAGTACATGGCATTCATGGTAGTTGTGTGTGGCACATGCAGATTAACTAGGGTGCACATTGGCCGTAGATTCTTCTTAGAACCAATAAAGGGCACAGATGTTTTCTCTAATGTGCATGCCCAGGGTTTCATAGGCCGTTTCGTGTAGTCATATTTCCAAACTGCGTAATGGCATTTTTTTTTGTCTTCCAGCCCATACTGGCCAGTACGAAGCATTCATGTTAGTTGCGTATGGCACATGCATATTAACTAGTGTGCACAATGGCCGTAGGTTCTTCTTAGGACCAATACAGGGCACACATGTTTACTAAAATGTGCACACCAACTTCAGTCTGTCCGCTACTGTCGTTGTTGGTCAGTTTGACAAGGATGGCACATATTGTTAGACGTTCGGGCACACCCTGGTTGTCGCTGGTTCTTGGGAGCCCTCAGAGTAGTTTTAGGTGCACAGAGTCAGCGCATGGCTGGATATAGATACTTAAATTAAGACATATGGAATTAATTGGACGCATATATTGCTATATTAAATGGAGTGAGTAGCTAGTTATCTGTACACGAATACATGATTAAAGAATGTGAATAAAATTATTGGCGGTTGATCAGCCAGGCACATGCCCGTAGTCTCAGGTGCACAGTTCTTCTTTCCTACTTGTGACTTGTGGTCTTCTTTCGTAGCGCGCAGTTGCGACTATCATGGTGTCCGTATGTGTTGCAAGTCCGGCACTTCCTTTCCCCCTTTGCAGCTAGTGTTGATGCAATCTCCTTTGCTGACTTGAAACGCTTTCCAGAACCCTTGTTCTTAGCAATTGCAGGGGGGTGGACCTTGATGTTTGGTGATGAGGTGGACCCACAGAAGCTACGTATGATCTCGTTTTTGATGCTCTGGGCTTGTCTTGGGATATGCTTTCAGCTGATTTCTCTCGGTGCGCTTTTAGTAGCTGTGCCAACTCTGTTATTTTATCGTTGTTACCATATGCATACCCGACACACTTGAAGAACTCATCAAATACGGTCCCCATTCTTGTATTCCCGTTCGCGTGTTCCGGGGTATCATGCTGGTCGTTGTTTGCGTAGATCTCTGTGTGGGGCCAACATGTATTGCGTGACCATCGTGGTAAGATGTATTGGCTAGGTATTCGGTCCAGATTTGCAGCCTTGAATGCCAAGAACACATGTTTGCACTGTATCCCAATCCGGTGGAACATCTTGCATGTGCATTGTACTGTTCTGTTTGTAGAGTTGTACTCCACTGAATGTGTCGACTTGTCTGTGTCTTCTATATCAAAGTGAATGTTGCATCCTTCAATTGTTTTCTTAATAACTTGGGATGCGAAGCACGCGTCTGCAATTTCTTTTTGGACATCATAAAACACTGCGATGGTATACGTTGTGGCGGCTTGACGCTCTATCAAAAATGGTGTCCTCACATCTGGGAATTTGCCCTCGTTTTCTGCGTTTAGTTGCAGTTGGTAGTGTCGTTGTTTGTATATTGCTTTCTCAAACTTTGTGAAGAACTCTGATAAACTTAGATGGGGGGAAGTGCATTTGCTGAAAACGTTATTCTCCGACTCTGATCTTGATGTTGTTCTTAGCAAGCCTCCCATGAACACGTCGTTGAAGAATACTGGTATCCATTGTGCACGTATCTCAAACAAGTGGGTAAACCATTTGTGTTCAACTAGCTGATATTTCACCATAATTGTTTGCCAGGCTGTTTCAAATTCCTGAATTATTTGCGTGTCATTCCAAACCACGTTGTTTAAGCTTGATAGGAATCCTTCACTCTTAGCTAGTGTTGGCCCTACCTTCTCGCAGACCTTTGTCATGATGTGCCACATGCAATATCTGTGTCGAGTTGAATCAAATACTCTGGCTATTGCAACTTTCATTGCGGGGTCTTGGTCAGTAACTGTGCATGCCGGAACTTTTCCCATTGCCTTCTTGAAGTGTTCTAGCAGCCAGGTGTAGGAGTCCACATCTTCTCGGGCGATTAGTCCTGCTGCGAATGTCACGCTCTTCTTGTGGTGGTCAACCCCGGTGAATGGCACGAACACTAACTTGTACCTGCATGGGACAGATCAAGGGGGTGGGCGTTTTTTAGTAGTTAGTTATTTGTTTTAGTAGGGTAAATCGATAAGGCAGTAAATTCATGGGGGTGCACACAGTGTACTGCAGGAAGGCATTGCCTGTGTATATGCATTGTGTACTACGGATGGCACACAACAAGTGGCAGCTGGGCACACATGTGCCCGGTAGCCTTCGGTGTTAGGGGCGTTTTCAGGTGTTGTACTGTGCAGCTGTGTGCCCGTACGGCATTTGCAGGGTGCATTTATGTAGTTTGGTTTTACCTGTTTGTACCATATGTGGCGTCGAATGACATAGTGTCACCAAATAGCTTGAAATTGTGGCGTGCTTTAGGATCGGCCCAAAATATTCGGCACAGTTGGTCCAGCTCGTCAACATCATGGGCAAAATAGAATTCAGGTGAGGCGTTTTTCTTCTCCATATACTTATCAAGCACGAGTTGGGCATCGGTGTCTTCTATATATGCCATTATATCTCGTTTGAATTGCCAAAATCTGTTACTGTAGCTCCAACATTCTCAAAACCACCTACCATCTCTTCGTATAGTGTAAAGCTCTTGCATGATCCGATGTTTGCATTTGAGCAGTTGAGAATGAAATTTTGGTGCCCAATGTCAAGCTTCCGATTTGCCTTCATGAATGGTCTTGAAATTGGTGTGCATAAAGAATGGGTGTGGCGTTCCTCGATTGAGTTTACCTCAAACCTATCATTGTCCAATCTCTTGAATATTATTTTGGCATTGCACCCCACTCTATTTGTGACACGGCGCCTTTTAATTGAGTTGTTGTTATCATTTTTCAGAATGCCTACGCCATCCCCCTCGCCTGTAGGGAGTTTGAATCCGGCACGTGAGCACAGCACATACTTCCATGTGATCCTTCCATACGAGTCCCTTTTCTCGGATGCACAACGGATGTCAAACCCTGTACTCGTTGCGTAAGTTTGGTAATACGTAATTCCAGCTTCCAATGTAGTGAACACTTGGCCCGTGAATGGCCTCTTGGCGTCTTCACACTCTGGAGTCCAGTACTTTGTTGTGCCAGGAGAGATGTTGATAACGCAGCCTGTTGAGCGGGGTGCATCTGTAGAGTAGCGAAAAGTTAGTAATACAGTATGTAGGGTACCTATTAGGCTTTAGGTTTGTGTCATTCCGCACTCGAATTGGGTGTAATGTACCGGTTGGCACAATCGAGAACGCATATATGCACACTCTCCACATCAGTAGCAGAGATTTCGGCTTGACCCCTAGTTTGTGCCATTCTGCACTCGATTTTGGAAGATTTGGCCTGTTGGCACATTAGAGAACACATATATGCACACTCTCCACATCAATAGCAGATATTTTGGCCTCACCCCTAGTTTGTGCCATTCAGCACTCGAATTGGGTAGATTTGGCCTGTTGGCACATTAGAGAACACATATATGCACACTCTCCACATCAGTAGCAGATATTTTGGCCTCACCCCTAGTTTGTGCCATTCAGCACTCGAATTGGGTAGATTTGGCCTGTTGGCACATTAGAAAACACATATATGCACACTCTCCACATCAGTAGTAGATATTTTGGCCTCACCCCTAGTTTGTGCCATTCAGCCCTCGAATTGGGTAGATTTGGCATGTTGGCACATTTGAAAACACATATATGCACACTCTCCACATCAGTAGCAGATATTTCGGCGTCAGCCCTAGTTTGTGCCATTCTAGACTCGAATTGGGTATAATTGTCAGGTTGGCACATTCGCGAACACATATATGCACACTGTCCACATCAGTAGCAGAGATTTCGGCTTCCGCCCTAATTGGCACGTACCTGGAGACAGTTGTGCACTCATGCTACTCGCAGCGTAGGGTGCATACAATGCACGAGAAGTGTACAGTCGAACTGTCAGGCACATAGCCGGGGATGGTGGCTACCGGCTGTGCAGTATAGCATCAGACTGTGTGCCGTTCGCCCAATAACATCATGGGGCACGTGTGAATGCATGCAATTAGACATAACAGGGGTTTGAGTGTACTTACTTTCGTTGTTTGTTGTGTCCGTCATTGTCGCCGGCGGATTGTTTGGTCGTTTCGCGGAGGTTGGCGTCGCCGGATGCCGTTTGCTCGTTTGTCTGATTCGCCGTCGCTGTTGGTGTTGCCGGCAAGTAGCGGGATTCCAGGATGTAGAATAAGAGTCCTTGTCAATTTATTCTTGTAGGCCTGAAATTTAGGGGATAATTCTTATTTTTTATCGTCTTAGTAATTATTATGGCTTTAAATTACATTACTAACCTTTTGAATTTGTTATATTAAAGATTGATTGACTTTGATCCAATGGTTGAGATGGGTTCTTATGTTCTCACCTATTTAGTGGTTCCTACTAGAAGGCCACCCTATATATGTATATATATACATATATATGTGTATATATACATATATATATATATATATATACATATATATATATATATATATATATACATATATATGTATATATATACATATATATATATATATATATATATACATATATATGTATATATATACATATATATATATATATATATATATATATATATACATATGTATATATATATATATATGTATATATGTATACATATATATATATGTATATATGTATACATATATATATATATATATATATATATATATATATATATATATATATATATATATATATATATATATATATATATATATATATATATATATATATATATATATATATATATATATATGTGTGTGTATATATATATATATATATGTATATATATATATATATATATATATATATATATATATATATTAATTATATAATGGCACACAAAAATATATATCTATACAATACCAGACACACAACTTAATACATAATGGCACACAAGAATAAATGTAAACATCAGGTTTCTAACCCAGGCTCTATAAATTAACAAATCTAGCACGCGACATACAAACTGTGGCACACGACTACGTTCGGCCATGCACACGACATACCGGCTAAGGGCACACACTACATCCGTCCTCACAGTCCTCTATAATATACTTGTCCTCATTTGAATACACATCTATATATATATATATATATATATATATATATATATATATATATATATATATATATATATATATATATATAGATTATCAAGTTGGGGTTCTCTAATCAAATTGTCAACCTGATTCGGGAACTAGTATCTACTGTTAGTTACACTACCATGTTGGAAGGAAGAGCCATTGGCACTATCTTACCTAAAAGAGGGCTAGTCAAGGAGACCCCATGTCCCTTACCTCTTTATCCTTATCCTTGAAACCTTTCACTTGATGCTTCAAAATCTCCAAAATCATGGTGTCATTCCCGACATTTTCATTGCTAGAGGTGCCCCTACTATCAATAGCATTTTTTTTTTTGCAGATGATTGCTACATCTTCTGTAGAGTCACATCCTCTGAAGCTTCAACTCTAAAACACACCATTCAATCCTTTGCTAATGTCTCTGGTCAAACTGTGAACTACACAAAATCCCCCCTTACATTTAGCAAAAATACTAATGGGGCTTCAAAACATTATGTCTGTGTTAGATCTAAATAGTCTACCTATAACTGAACAATAGTGTAACACCCCAGATTTTCAAGACATTTAAAACTTATATAATAAAGGTAATATCTCATTACATCCCAAAGTATAGCATAAGTGTATGGGGTGCTATGCCACACCTGGGCTAGAGAACCCAGGTGCACAGGCTGTCTAACTAATATCCTCCGAATTCAAAGCATAACATGGCACGCAGGCCGAAAGGGGAACTATTCTACTTCTACGCTCCAGCTCTAGCGCGCTCCAGTGCTCTAATCCTCTGTGCCTGAAAGCCAAATATATCTGTTCAGCGAGATATGCTGGTAACCCACTCCAACGCGTTGAAATACAATACATATAGAGATATATATAGATATACGAAAACCATTTTGAGCATGAAGATATATCCTACGAACTCTAGCTTTAAAACCGGGAATGACTCGACAGATAAGGCCAGACACCAGCAATAGTTATAACAAGCATATGCAGTTCACAACAGATAAGGCAGATAAGGTAAAGCATAACAATAGTCATAACCCAACATAAGCAATCCCCAACATAAATCCCATAGTCACATCCCGCAAGATACTCATAACCACAACTCATCCATAACACAACACATAGCACACTTTGTTGGCGCCACAGGACCAATCGCATGCCCATACATGAGGGTCAGCGCATATAGCTCTGACACGGCCCCGCAGCACCCTGCCCCGTATCGCAACACGGAGGGGTCGATCGCAACCGACTGATAAACCGCAGCTCATCATAGTGTTTGATCGCAACCAAACAGTGGACCGCAGCCCAAGAGAATGTCATCTGACCGCAGCCAGGAAAGAGGACGAACCGCAGCTCGTATAGAAACGTTTGATCGCAACCAAACGGTGGACCGCAGCCCAAGAGTATCAATCTGACCGCAACCAGCTTCTGAACCGCAGCTCAGGATGACCAATCCGATCGCAACCGAATTGGGGTAACACACACACATAACACATAGCAAGCACATGCAACCCACATTACACATTGGGAAGGGGGATAAAACGTATAACCAAACCTATGCGTGATCCATCACATACTAAGAATAGTCCTAAGGGGTTCATACTTCTTCCACCTAGGTCAACGGGATACCAATTCAACTAGCATGCAATATAATAGACTCATAAACCTACGAACGGTACCCGAAACATCAAACTAGACATTGGCACGATAAACGGAGTCCGTTGGGACACGACGGGGTCGGGGGAACATCAAACGGGGAAGCCGGGGTCCCGAAGTGGGATAAATTCCAGCGGGTAGCCGGTGGGTGGGGGGCCACCCGCCGGCTGCCCGCCGGAAACACTGTTCCGGGCAACGGGTCGCCGGCGGGTAGCTGCCCGCCCGCCGGCTGCCCGCTGCCGGAGATACACTTTCCGGCCGTGGGTAGGTGGCGGGTCCCCTACCCCCCACTGACTCTTAACACACAATTTCGCCCCGGGAACCATTGTGGAACCTGAAACCATGCTTAGACACTTTACAACGCAATTAACGACAACACGTGGACAATTAACGGATCAAATACGAGAAACGAACGACACATAACCTATCATGCTTTTCTAAACATAATCAACACCCAAACATGCGATTTCCCCACCCGATAATCCAAGAATAATACCATACGATACAACCTAGGGTTCTAATCACTTTTATATCAACAAGAATACGATTCGTCTTCTAATTGCAAGATTCAGTAAGAATAACACATAAGCATCAAGAGCATCACACAATTATCAAGAACAACACATAATCATCAAGAACTCCATATAATCATCAAGAACACCATAATTATCAAGAATCTCCCAATATCAAGATTATCAAGATTCCTCATGGAATCATTATATCAATCACCAATAATAATCATCACCAATC